AATAGTACTTAAGTACTAACCACCATATTGGTTCAGCCAGGAAGAAAATATTAAAAGTATAAAATACAGAGCCCAATGCTAGAAGTACAATTAATAGTTCACTAGAGTTACCAACTGTAGCAATAGAAATTCTCAACAGTTATGCCATTATCTCAGTTTTAATCCAGACCCAGACAGCCTTTAATTCATTCTTGTTCTCTTTTGCATGCATTCTATCACCTATGCTTGCTGGCTCCCCTTTAGACATCTTACACATTATGGAAAACAAGAAAAGGATTACAATATCTAAACACAGATGAAGAGTAGCCTCTCCTATAGTCCTGCCATCCAGTAATTGGTTAATATATAACAATGATTAATAGATTGTGCCCATACTGCCCTTTCCATTCTTGGCCTTATGTTTGATTTCTGTAGCGAGTAGTCAAAGTCCTCTCATTACCACCTCAGGGAACCAGACCCAGAGACTGGGGTGCTGAGGTGCAAGGCATGGGCCATGCCCAGGCAGGGATTTCAGCATCAGCAACTACAAAGGAGTTCACTGTTGACTCAGACTCAGCCTGGGAGCTTTAACATGTGGGTAGAAGGGGCCAGTCATCAGTAAGACTGAAAGAAGCCTGATGAGCCCTCCCTTTATCACCTCCAGTCCTGGGAATCACAACACCGTTGCTCTCACAGGTCAACATCATGTGTGGAGTGTGCCATATTCTTCAGTGAGTTGCTCTCCCGTCAAATGGAGAGAACCACTGGTTTAAATGGAGGTCCTTTGGGAGGTGGGCTCAGTACACAGAAAGAACAAACCCTTCCCATGACTTCGATATGGGGACCTGTCCAAAGGCATAGCACAAGTGACAGCTTTATTAGTAGTCTTATAAAAGACATTAGTAGTCTTATAAATTTTTTAAAACCATTAATATGAATGTTAAGTCTATGCTTTCCTCAATGCCATGAAAATATTTGGACTCTGACATTGTGTGATTTGACATTTAAATGTGTGTTATGAGCTACTTTCGAAGCTTTGTTCACCCTTACCCTTTTCTCAGTCTCAAATCTTCACATTTTCCCAACTTCCTCATTCCACTTAAAACTTTTAAATAGGTCCTCAAAGGGAACTGCAATGTCTGAGTTACAAATATAGCCCCTGTTTACAGCCACCCTGCTTTCCCATGTAGCTAGGCAAGAGCTGGGCAGCAGGTCCAGAGAACATGTGTAGTATGATAGAAGTGAGGAAGATTCTGGGGGGGAAATGCAACTGGTGAATTTTCTGATACATTAGACCACATGGAAAACTATTATGGACAGGCTGTGAGTAAAAAATGTTCCCAAATCAAGTGGAAAAAGTGAATTATTAATTTCAGGGAAGGCAAAGGGTTTACAAGAAAGGAAATATAATCATATCACACAATTGGGCTCAACAGGAAAGAATGTTTTCATAGATATAATGTAAACTCTTAATACAAATTTATCAAAAGTGTGATAACATTATATTGAGAAGTTATAGAGAAGGTAAGTATATGGTAAGAAAGTTTTATAGAAGTGCTAAGTCCTTAACAGACATGCTAGAAATTCATGTGTCTAATGCTGAGAAATCAAGAAAGAGAAATAAAGCATATTTTGTGAAAATACAAGTATAACAGAAGAAACAGATAAATGTTGAAAATGGTAGGCTCTGGTGAGCAAGGCTAAAGGGTAGAGGAGGCAAAGATAAATTTTTGTTTTTCATTATAAGCCTTTAAATACTATTTGACTCTGATACTATTCGCATGTATTACTTTGATAAAAATAAATTTTAATTTTTAAACATACACATGAAAATGTGAAAGACCATGAACAGGTAGCTCATAGAAAAAGCACTAAAGACCTTATTTAAAATAAGAGAAATGCAAATTAAAACTAATTTGAGATACTCCTTCTCATCGATCAAATTGGGAAAAATCCAAGATTGAAGCCATCCTCTTTTGGCAAAGCTGTGGGAAGGACAGAATGCTCGAACCGTATCAAGGAGAATCAGGCAATATCTGTCAAAACTGTGGTGCATTTCTCTTTGACTCAGTAAACCCTGTTCTAGAAATGCACACCAGGCCCTCTTGCATGCCTATGAAATGACATATGTATAAGGTTATTCATTACAACACTTTGTAAAAGCAAAGGACTAAAAAGAATCCAAATGTCTGTCAATAGGTGATTTGTTAAATAAAGTATGGTTCAGTCACTGAGCGGAAAATATTTATGTTCTCCATGAACAAAGATTAAAAAGAAACCTACGTAATTTTACCAGCAGCCTCCAGGCCCTCCAAAACTCAGAGGCTCTGTGTGGAAGCCTCTCAGACAGAGCAGACTCCCTGCCCTGCCACGGTCTGAGCATAAAGGGAACTTGGCTCTCCCTCTCCGCCCTTTTCAAAATCTTAGAAACAAAGCAAGACAGGCAGTGGGTGAGGCAAGGTCAGAGTTAACATCAGTCCTAGGTTCAAATCCTTCTTTTTAAAAAACTTTTCATTGATTTATAGAGAGATAGAAGAAGGGAGGGAGGAGGAGAAAGAGAGAGAGAGAGACACAGATTTGTCATCCCACTTTTTATGCTCTCATTAGTTGATTCTTGCATGTGCCCTGACCAGTGGTAGAATCTGCAACCTTGGCGCATCAGGTCGATGATCCAACCAACTCGGCAAGGGCTCAAATCCCTCTTGGCCACTTTGTTAACTGACACACTTGGACTTGGGTTTCTCATCTGTAAATGGGGATAAAATTCCCTACCTCCTAGAGTGTATGTGACACTGGGGACACAGAGCCTGGTCCTCAATGAGTACTCAACAGGAGGGGTTATTATTAATAGTACTACCGGAAAAAGGAATCCTGTCTCCAGGATTAATGTGTTTGTGAGAGGAGGACGATCATCTTGGAAATGCCAAGATAAGAATCAAAAGCCACTGGACAAAAGAATAGGAATTTCCCTTCATGACCAGGCAGTTTTGGAAGAGATTGTTCAGCCACAGGCAGAAACATGCACCATGTGGGCGCCCCCAGCTTCTCACTGCTGCCACCTCCTCAAGGACTTGCAGAGACTTCCCTTCCCTAAGTACTGTACAGCAGCAGGACTGAAGGGATGGAGCCCACACACTGTCTGTTTGAGACGAGAAACCCGAGGACCAGAGAAGCCAGTGATGTGCCTGAGAGTGCACAGCCAGTAGTCCAGTTCCACAGCCAGAAGGAGCCACTAACAACATTGCTTATCAGGCATACATTTTATGGTAGCAATTTTCCAGTGATTCAAAACAGAAAGAATAAATCTAAAAGTGAGTACTCAGGACATTTGAGCCAAGCTGACTTTCATTCACTTCTGAATGGGGTTGTGATCAGTGTGAAAGCACATGGTCAATATTGGTGGAGTAAGTAATGTGTGTATCACATCAACCTGTCTTTATGGCTGTGCCTATGCTTTCCCTTTTATATATAACACTTCCTGTGGAATGAAGCCCCAAGTGTAGTGGCAGTTTGTGTTGCAATAAAAACAAGCATTTCAAGAATGTGCCCAGCCCCTGCTCCAGCAGTGACTACACATGTAATATTGGGTTTCAATTTCCTCATCTGTAAATGGGAATATCAGCCACCTTCATCGTGCTATTGCAAAAATAAAATCAGTTAACAATGCCCGGCACTTAGCTAGCACCACTTTCTGCAAACCCAGATCTCCCCTTGCCTTTCCTGCATGTGGGACCTTACCAGTTCCACAACACCTCCTGCCCTGCTCTTTGAATTCCAAAGAAAAAATTTCCCCTATGCAGAGAGAGAGGGAGAGAGAGAGAGAGAAGAAGAAGAAGAAGAAGAAGAAGAAGAAGAAGAAGAAGAAGAAGAAGAAGAAGAAGAAGAAGAAGAAGAAGAAGAAGAAGAAGAAGAAGAAGAAGAAGAAGAAGAAGAAGAAGAAGAAGAAGAAGAAGAAGAAGAAGAAGAAGAAGAAGAAGAAGAAGAGAGAGAGAAAGAGAGAGAAAGAGAGAGAAAGAAAGAAAGAAAGAAAGAATAATTTCCATGATATTTACAATTAAATATAGTTCTAATTTCCTCAACCAGAATCAAGAGTTAAGTAGAATCTCATTGATAAAAGTTGAGAAAAGTATTTCTTTTTCAAATTTCCCCAAAACCTTCTTCATCTACATTTCCTTTGGGGACTGGTTCCCACCATGTCTACATCAATCTGGAGCACTCTATAGCCAGCCAGCTGTACTCACTGGATTCCCGATTCCCCCACATTCCTACCCCAGGCACACTCAATAAATGGTTCTCACCTGCATGAAGCAGAATGAGGGGACAAATTTCAGCAGAGATATGGTGAGCATCTACTATATGCTAAGCTGTGTGCAAGACCTTTTTCATCTCTCACACTTAATTATCACAACAACCCTGACAGGCAGTCATCATCACTCCCAGCCCACAGAGGACAAAACAGAAACTCGAAGCATGGAGTGACATGCAGAAAGCCCGTGGTCAGGAACGGGCAGAGGGGGATGGAACCCAGGCCTCTGAGTCTGTTGTACCTAGGAGCCTCTAGCCTCTAAAGCATATTTGTAACAGTTTTCCCTTTCCTCCCACCCCCTCGGCACAAACAGAAACCCCTAATTTTCAGCAAGTCATTTGATAACTTCAAAAGAGGAGCCACATCCTTTTCTCAACCTCTATTGGTGAACAAAGACAACATCATGTTTCCAACACACTAGTCAGACCAAAGGGAGAAAAAATCCCCATGACTTTAGATTTTCCATCCTTTGGAACAAGGACATTTCGCACAGAAGATTTATCATATTGTACAAACATTGCTTTTAAATAACACCAATCTCTCTTGATATAGCTTAAATCCTAAAATCTAAGGTTGAATTGCTTCCTTTCTTGCACCTTGAATAAATATACAAACCATAAATTCGATAGTCCACTGGTTAGATTGAGCTGTCCCATCAATACAGAGATTCCTGACAACTTGCACCCAGTTTGACTCCGGTCTTAGGTGTGCTGACCTGAAATAGTTGCTGGCCGCAGCAAGCACCACGCGGTGGCAGGAGAATTCCTGAATGTCCACACACAGGGTGACATCTGTCAGAGCGTTTTCCACGCGGAGGGTCTCCAGGCCATTCTGCAGAATTAAGGACAGTCCCGTGTCGTCAAATTTTACCTTGTCCCCATTTAAGATTTCTACCAGGTCTCCCCTTTTCTGGGAGGGTTCATCCGTGGGAGGTGCCAGAGGCCCTTCCAGACTCTTCTCCACCACGTCACCCATAGTCCAGGCACCCCTTTGTCCTGCCATTAACATCCAGACTGAAGGAGCGCCCAAGTTTCGGGCAGGTCACATTGCAGAAGCAGAGCGGATTTCCTGTGCAGGGCGCTCCACTTATCACCAGCTGTCACACACACATAACAGGAAGTCTCGCACTTTCTCATCCTGTTACTACAAACGCCAATAACTTCTATTCTTCTTCTTTCTGCAAACGTTCACGAGGGCAGAAATTACTTAGAAAGGGTGTGTGGGAAGGGGCTCCGGGAGAGAAGGAGTGGCTTCTCAGAGTCTGCTATTAGTGTTGTGCAGTTATTTTGGTCCACTTCCCACCTCATATCCGTGAGCAGGAAGCCTCTGGTTCTGGTTATTACATTTGTACTCCTGGTGCTTCTATAACTGAAATTGTCAGCAATGGAATGGGCAGGGGCATTCTATTGTACAATCCCCTTCCCAGGAGTCTGAGCTCCCGCAGAGTCCCTTGGGAACCTTGGAGTGTACTTATCTCCGGCATTCTCAATTCTGCCAGCACTTCACACTTTCTGTCTTTGTCTTCCCCCCTGCTCAGGGGAAAACAATGGCATGGCAAATATTAATGTTCCCTACCCCCTTTTCCAAAATGTCTGTTGTTTCAGATATGCCTCTGGGGGCAGAGAAGAAATGGTCTCCAGAGACTATCCCCAGGGCCTTCTCCCTTACAGGACCAATCAGGGTCGGTCTTCAGATTGCCCTAGCAAGTCTCAGATGGCCTGATCTCACCCAGCATCTATCGCTCATGCATCCAGTGGTGGATCATGAAGTATATCCATGACCTCTGCAGGTCTCTCTTAAATAGCAATAACTATCTTTTATTATTAACTTTCCACTAGATCCTAGGACAATTTTAGAAGTTAATGTATTTTCATCTTTGTAACAACCCACCCGGGGTTGATAGGACTTTCCTCATTTTGCAGCTTAAGGAAACTGAAGCTCTGATCAAGGGAGTGGCGGGGCCCAGTTCCCTTTGGCTCTGAAGCTGCTCTTTCCTCCACCACTGTCGGGCCCTCAGAACTGTAACAGCACATCCACCTAACTCCCACAGAGGGAACTGCAAGGCCTGCCTGCACCATCCTGGTGCCTTGCCAGAGTGGCCCCTGCTGTCCCTCTCCTGCCCTCACTCACCCTCTGGAAGGGGAAGCACTTCCAGGCGTCCTGATTAACAGGAGTGCTGATCCTCTCGCTGCCCTGGTCAGCGATGATTGAGCCCACTCCAGGAGTCCTGATTCTGCCTCAGCTCTTCCTCTCTCCCATAGATACTTACTCTTAAAATCAGGGTATTTGATATTGCCCCACACTTGTTCTTTTTCTGGAGCCAATCAAGGTGCTTTGGGGTTAATAACAGAGTATCCCAACAAAGTGGGTCTCACACTATAACAAATCAGAGGCGTGGAGTCCCAGGTTGATCCAGAAGCTTAGTGATGCATCGAAGACGTGAGATTTTTTCCTCTTTCCATTCTGTCACCCTCAGTGTGATGGAGATGTCCCCTCGTGGTCACATAATAGCTGCCACAGTACCAAACACCAAGTCTTTATACAACTGCAGTCCAATATCAAGGATTACAAGAGCAGGCCTCTTCTCCTCCACCCCTCTCTTTTTACCAGAGAGAAAATATTTCCTAAAATCCCCGTCAGACTTCTAGGCCATCTGGCCGCCTCACACAAAATACCGGGCAACATAAACATAATGCCATGATTGGCTTGAACCAAATTCAGCTCACCCCCAGATACTAGTCCACCTTCTCCAAAATCTAATGGCTGGACAAACTCAGGGCCCACTAGCCCGGGAGAGGGCGGAAGGCTGGTGTGCAGTAAGCCTCCTGTGCCCACACAAGGACACGCACGACCCTGGCTCTCCCTGCAGGCCTTGGCCGGGAAGACCTCAAGTTGTAAACAACACCGACTATATTTGACTCCACCCCAGTCACCCTAAATAAAACAAAATTAAAAGTAAAACTCAATTCTTTAATTCGTGATGAATCCTGCTCACCAAGTTCCCTTGTTATTTTCCGTATACCTTCCTAGCCCACTCATCCCATCCCCTGGTGTCGGCGGACAGCTGTTACCTTCCCCACAACCTCCCATTTCCTGGTAAACAAGCACACACCTATGAGATGGTAATATCTACAATCCTACTGTAGTGCAAAGGTGAGAAACACAATCGTTTGGGCATTTGCTTCAACCTGAATATGCTCTAAAATTTAGCATGAACTGGTAAATATTCTTTATAGCTACAAGCAGAATAACTGTTCTGCAAAAGTTTTATTTTCTGTACCAGGCAACCAAACGCACAAGCCATTGGCAAAAGCTTTATTGCTGAGCAAACGATTTAATTACATCTTACTGAGCTAGTTGGCTTCATGATGCTTGTAAGGAATAGATTCTGTCCTCATATAATTGGGTAGCTTCACTCAAGGAAAATCTCGATTCCTAAGGCCACAGATTGCCCCTTTGACTCCAGTCAACTGTCTTCTCTGATACAAATTATAATGATAGAAACAAGTCTTAAGTCAGCCACTGAGGAAGAGCCACTATTCTCTCATGTTAACTTATTGCTACAAAATGATAACGTACTATTTTTAAAGATTTTACTTATTTATTTTTAGAAAGAGGGAAAGGGAGGGAGAAAGAGAGAGAGAGAGAAACATCGATATGCAAGAGATACATCAATTGGTTGCCTCACATACACCCCACACTGGGGACCTGGCCCACAACCCAGGCATGTACCCTGACTGGGAATCGAACTGGCAACCTTTCGCTTTGCAGGACAACACTCAACCAACTGAGCCACATCGGTCAGGTCAAAATGATCATTTACTGAGCATCAATTGCATTCCAGGAAATATGAGAAGCGCTTTATGAACTCTAATGTACTTAATCTTCCTAATAATCTAGTGTGGCTAAGTACAATGATCTGCCTTTCAGAGATATAAAAGTAGATCAAGTCATATAATTGTAGCACAAAATATCAGTGTCACACCCATATCCCCTTAGCCCACCCTGGAGTTCACCCACCGACAGTTCCCACACATTCCAAAAGCATCGATCTGCCCGAGAGCGTCCCCCGGCTACAAGAGAACATCAGCTGGTGACAAGTGCCAGAGAGGAAATGCCACAACAGTGACTTCCAGCTGAGGGCCAGGAGTTAGCAGATAAATAGGCTAGCTTCTGTGTCTCTTGGTGGGACAGTGAAGTATGTTCTAGACCATCAGAGGATTCCCAGAGTGCTGGGTTCCTGCTGCCCACAGCAGTGTCACACTCATCTTCTGAGGGCTTCCCACCCTGCCCATCTCACCTTCCCACTCCATCCCTGTGCTTCCCAAATAAGCTACTTGCTCCCCCATCTTGTCTTAAGGTCTGCGTAGGGGCAGGGCAGGGAATGCAAATCAAGACACAAAGCCACCTTGGCCAGGTGGCTAAATTGGTTGGAGCGTCATTGTGTGCACCAAACGGTTGCAGGTTTGATCCCTGGTCACAGTGCACATGGGAGGCAATCCATCAGTGTTGCTCTCTCACATCAATGTTTCTCTCTCTCTCTTTACCTCTCTATCTCTCCTCTCCCCCTCTCTCTAAAATCAATAAACATATCCTCAGGTGATTGCTTAAAAAAAAAGACACATAACTACTGAGTGGCAGAATCAAGATTTGAATTCAGGTCTGGCTAATTCTAAAATCCATGCTTTCCACTTTCCACTGTTCTCCTGTGACCCCAACAGAAACCCAGATCCAAGGAGAGCCTTTCCCAGAAACACTCCAAAGCAACTGTGACTTTGATCCCTCATAGTCAGGGATTCTATCTCTTTCCACCAACCTAGGCAACGTTCATTCAGCTCTGGCTCCTGCTCTTTGCTGCACATCTTGATACTCGAGGGCCTAACTCGTCACTGGCATTAAGGACTTTGCAAAGCCAGACCATTGCCTACCTTTGTAGGGCACAGTCACAGTTGCAATGGCATCAGAGCATCATAAGCTACCCCTGCAGTGCCTCTGGGCCTCTGTCTGACACATTGGCCAGTGCACAGTGCCCTAAACCATCAATCACCATTGCCAACAGCCCTCTGCTCTCTCCTAGAGAAGCAGAAGACCCTCTCTTGTCCTTTTCTAATGTTAGTAAAAGAACAAAGGGGCTCATCTTGACATCTTTATCTTCTGCTTCTCAAAATTTTTGAGTTTCTGCTCTTCCATGCCCCATATTAGGGTTACCACTACATATGGGATTAACACCCTGTGTGGAACTACCACCAGTTTAAAGAGGAGCCTTCTATTGCCCTACACAAGCCAGACAAGTCCTCTGCTCCCCTACACAGAAGGCTCTCCTCCTTGACTCACAGTCTAGGAAGGAGCAGGCAGTGAGAGGTCACTTCTGCGGGACTTATAAAACAATTCAGGAAAGTGGATGGATACAAGATAAATATATTAAAATGTTTCCCAATATACCAACAATAGTCAGGTAAAAACTAATGAAAAATAATGCTATTCACAGTGGTATTAAAGCAATTTCCTAAATGCCTAGGAATAACCTTAACAACAAATGCACAAAATATCAGTATTGTACCCATGTCCCCTTAACAACAAATGTAAGATAAAACTAACAAATTTTACTAAGAGATTTAAAAGAAAACTTGAATAAATATACCAAATGAAAACAAAAGAATAAAAACTCTACTGTGATACACTCTTTCTCCATCCCAAACTATCACCATTCTTCCACCAAATATACTATTTTTTTAAGATTTTATTGATTTATTTTTAGAGAGAGAGGAAGGGAGGGAGAAAGAGAGGGAGAGAAACATCAATGTGTGGTTGCCTCTCATGTGGCCCCCACTGGGGACCTGGCCTGCAACCCAGACATTTGCCCTGACTGGGAATTGAACCAGCAACCCTTTGGTTTGCAGCCCACACTCAATCCACTGAGCTATACCAGTCAGGCCAAATAAACTATTTAAAATAAAAGCATAGCATACATTACATGCATGAGTATAGAGTAAAGTTATATGGTGTTTACAAGGGTGTATGTGCCTTATAATAATTTACTAAGCTTTACATTTTTGTTCGTCATCTTC